ACTGGAGCAACTGTGCGCCCTCGCTCCACGACCGGGCGGCCCTCGCCGAGGCCCAGGGTCGGCGGTCGGCGAGTAACCGGGGGGCAACGGCTCAGGGCGATCGAGGGACGCAAGGACTGGAGGGGTATCGACAGGCGGGTGGCGAAATCTCTACACGTCCTAAGGCAACCATCTTCGCGCTTCACGCTTTCATGCCACCCGCCCGCCCCCCAGAACAGGATGAGGGACTCGCGCCTCGCTCTGAAATCGCCCAAACTGCCAAGCGCGACGAACTTCGCACCCTCGCGGTGGCTCTTGCATACCCGCTGCCCCCTGGCCAGGCCCTGCCAGGGACCAGGATCTGTGTATACGCCCTCTTGGTCAAGCCAGGACGGCATTGCGTGTACACCGCTGCTGGGTTCAGGATGGGCCCGGCCAAGTAGCAGTGGATGCGTATAGGCTGGACAGGCTCGGCATAGAAACCTCAACCTGGAATCGACGATATATCACTGATACATATACCACCGGCAGCAAACCCGCGTGCTCCTGGGCGGCGTGGGCTACTGGGCTCCTATCGGCGATGGGTGGGCGATTGGGGGTCGCGGCGGCCCCCCCCCATCGAGAGCTTATCCCCCCTAACAGTGCCCCTGAAGGACGCAAGGACGTCGGATGAGGAAGCCAAGAGATGGAGAGAACAGAGAAAGACGAACCAGCGTAAGCAGACTCCCTGGCGCGCGGAGCGCGCTAGGGGCGGCGCCGAGGCGCCGCTAGTGGGAGTCAGCAGCAGATCCAAGAAACCTGCGCGGACGCCCAGGCGTATTTGTTCATGAAACTTTCCCCTCTACGAGGGGGGCGCCAGCGATGCGTGTGCACCGGCCCTGGCCAGCCCCATCTTGCACGCCTTCCTGGCCCAGTCACGGACGCAACAAACAAACATTCATGCACCAGGGATGGGCCTGCCTGGCCAGGGACGGTTCAGGGGTGCTGCTGTCGTCGCCAGACACGCAGAGCAGGGGGCGAAGGCTCAGCACGGATGCAGGCAGACTTGTCCGTCGCGGCGCGGCAAAGGCGATCCGCACGCGCGCTCTAATGGGCACGAGTTGTCCGGCTGCAGGGAAGAGGCGGAGCCGGAGAGCGGCCGCGGGGGGGCGGAATGAGGAGGGAGGGGCACTCACAGCCCGAAGACCTTCGTCAGGAGTGGCCGGTGCGGCCAGCCTGTGCTGAGGCAGCCTGGCAGTGGACGCGGGGCGGCGTCAAGGCCACACTCAGGGGCTGAGGCAGAGGCTGCAGGCGCAACGAACGTAGACCAATTCGATCTGGTACGGGGCGAAGAGCGGCGAGCGAGCCCACGGAAGCGGACAGCATCCAGGTGTTCGTCAGAAGGCCGTGGGTGACAGGCTTTTGCTGCAGGCGCGGCGCCAGCGGGATGCGTGAAGGCCCAACTGCCCGCAGGGGCTGGGCTCGCGACCAGCTCGCTGCGGTGAAGTAGCGCTGAGCTGCTGAGCTCTGGGCTGCAGGTCTGCGGCTGCGCTTCCGAGAGATGCACGGCGCCAACTACTGCAGCGGCGCAGCGCGGCGTGTGAGAGGCTGAACGGCTGGGTCCGCGCGGCAGGGCTGCCGGCAACGGCGCCAGTGAGGTGGCCAGCAGGGCAATCAGGAACCAGGGCTGCTGCGCAGGACACCGCAAGCGTGCAGCGGTGCAGGCAGGGCAAAATATCTCTTCCTCCTCGTCGATGAAGAACGAAGGGGCCTATCTGGACACGGCGGGCATGGGCCACATAGAGGTTCAACCACGTAAGTCTAGTAAGGAGCGGCCCAGAAACCCGAGCCCTCCTGAGCCCAACACGATCCTTACTTCAGCATCTTGGTTGCAATTGTTTGACGGCCTTAGGGCGCGTCGAGGGCCCCGGGAGTCCGAGAACAGCGACAATAAAACTCCGGGAGCCGCTTCCCTCAGAGGCTCTCTCTCCCGCATGTGCCGATGTCTTTGCGGTGCCGCCCCGAGGACTCCAGCTCGAACATGATTCCGTCGTCGAAGTCGACGTCCTCGGCTCGGCCCGCCGGGGGAAGGGCATCCGAGCCACGTGCGCGCGGGAGCAGGCGTGATCCACGTCAGCGGCGCCGTGCTCCACGTCGGCAGCGTCCAGGGGGGGGTGAAGAGGCAGACGACACGAGAGCTTGGGGCGCGTCCAGGGAACCCAAGTGGGGGGGGCCAGTGTTGGGGGGGGAAGGAGGAGGAGGAGGAGGAGGAGAAGGAGGAGGAGGAGGAGGAGGAGGAGGAGGAGGAGGAGGAGGAGGAGGAGGAGGAGGAGGAGGAGGAGGAGGAGGAGGGGGAGGAGGACCGAGCGAATCTTTGGATAAGGGGCGGGCCTTCTCAGGAGGCTCGGGCGTCCCCCAGCCTTCTGAGAAGTTTTCTGAGCCTTCTCCGAATACACACAACACAACTTGTGAATCCACCACAACCACCACAAACCACCACTCCACCGCCACCACCGCCACCACCACCACCAGCACCACCTCCACAAACCACCGCCACAACCACAACCAACCACCACCACCACCACCACAAACCACCACCACACCACCACCAAACCACCACCACCACAACCCACCACCACCACCACCACCACCACCACCACCACCACCACCACAAACCACCACCGCACCACCTCCAAATCACAACCACCACTGGGTGAGTCCACAACTGATGGAGGAGGGATCTTTCATTCAAGGTGACCATTGCTCCCTCCTCCACCTCCTCCTCCCTCCCCCTCCTCCACCTCCTCCCCCCTCGCCTCGCCCCCCCTCTTCCCCTTCCGCGACGGGGCGAGGGAGGGCAAGGACGACGACGACGCCGACTGACGACGACGGCCCGACGTCTGCTTGGCAAGGGAACTGGTCGCACGTACGTGTGAGGGCGCATTGCAGCGTCGTTGATGTGTCCTACGTTCACTCTGGCCCTCCTCCTCATCTTCGTGTCCTCCACCTCTTACTCCTCATCCTGCGCGGTCGCCGCCGAGGGCAACCCCTGGGGAAGGGACAAGGACAAGCCTCGTGTCACCACGGCTGGATTCGCCTCCAGACCTCTCGTCAGAACGCACCCGTGTCGCCACAGCTGGATTCACCTCCAGGGCCTCCAGGTCTCGTCAGAACGCACCCCATCCTCCTCCCCCTCCTCCTCCTCCTCCTCCTCCTCCTGAGCGTCGCCGAGTCTCGGGCCCAAGGCGGCGGCGCGGCGGCGGGCGGCCCCCCCGCGGCCCCCCCGCGGCCGCCTCGGCCCGCCGGCCGCGCTCCGCGATGGCACCGAGGCCATATTTTTTTCTTTCCTCTCTCACTCGGAGGTCATGTCTTTGTCCATCCCCGTCTGCGCCAGGCTGGCGCAGATAAGCTGGGAGGAGGAAGAGGAGGAGACCGAGACCGAGACCTGAGGATAATAAAGAGGAGGGAGGAGGAAGGAGGAGGAGGGCGAGGAGGTGCAGGTGCAGGCAACCAAGAGTACGCCAGCAGGACTGACATACCTCAGCACTCAGGAGAACATGTAGTGGCGAACGCCGAAGACGAGCGCCGTGTGGCGGACGGAGGGGAGGGGCGGCGGGCCTGCACGCTACGCGGCGGGCCCCCCTGCCAACCCCCCACTGCCACCTCCGTCCGCCCCGGGGACTCCGCCAGGAGGACCGCGACGCGGAACAGCAGGCCCTTCAGGAAGAGGAGGCCCCGAATCGGCGGGCTCTCCGAGAAGGAGGGCACCCAGCTCGTGGGGGGCCACGCCGAGCTGAGCCGCCATGGCCTGAGCCAGTGCTCGGCCGCGCGCGCCAGGAGGCCGCCCGCCGCCCGTCGCCGCCGTGGCCGCCGACCGCCTCGGGGGCAGGTCGTCGGCCCAGGCGTCGTCCAGCAGGGGCGACGGCGGAGCGGGGGCTCCGCCCGCCTCCGCTGCCGCCGTTGCCGCGTCCTCCACGATCATCATGCCGTCGGCGCCGAGGCCGTGCTGGACCGCCCCAGCCGCTCCCTTCGCCCCGCCGCGGCCGCGAGGCCGTCGCCGCCGCCTCCGAGGGGCAGCCGCGGGCTCCGCTGGCGGCGCCGCCGCGGGCGCAGGGGAAGCGGGCTTGGCCGGCACGGCCACCGCCGAGCGCAGCAGACCTTCAGCGGCGCGGACGAGACGCGCAGCGTCCCGAAGTCCCGCGCCGCTGGCGAGCCCTGCGGCAGCATGCACCGCCAGTACCGCGCCACGCGCGGCTTCCAGCGGCGCCGCAGCGCGGGCGTCCGTCGTCGGCGGCATCGGCGAGGCGGCGGGACGGCGGGCCGACCCAGCGAAGCGACGCGTGAGCCAAAAAACCAACTAGGAGGAGGGCGAGGAGGGAGGAAGGAGGAGGGGGGTGCGGGAGACGAGGCTGGGAGTAAGCAGGGAGGGAGGGAGGGAGGGAGGAGGAGGAGGGAAAGCTAAAAGCAGCTAGAGTGCGCACGCACGGGGGGGCCGATGAGCGCCGCCTCGACCCACGCTCGTATTCACTCGTACTCAGACTCACTCAAACTCAGACTCAGGCACACTCTGACTCACTCAGACACTCACGCTCACTCATATCCAGACTCACTCACTTCGACTGCTCGGCCGTCGGCGGTGAGAGACGCCCGGGCGCGCGTCGGCCCCCCAGGCGTCGCGGCGGCGGGTGCCGAGCAACTAGCGGGTGGCATACAGGATATCTGCACCCGCCGCCAGGGCGCGGGCCGCGGGGCCATGAACGACCACGAGCCCCGTCGGGCCCGTCGGGCCCGATGGGCCCGATGCCCGAAGATAGTCAGATAATGTTGAAGTTTGTTCGGACCTCCTCCTTCCCCTCCTCCCCTCCTCCTTCCTCCTCCTCCTCCTCCTTCCTCCCTCTCCCTCGTCCTCGTCACTCCCCTCCCCCCCCTCCTCCTCCTCCTCCTCCTCCTCCTCCTCCTCCTCCTCGTCCTCCTCCTCCTCCCTCTCCTCCTGGCCTCCTCCTCTGAGCCCTAGTCATCATCATTATCTGATCTACCCGCGCCTACTCCAGCAGGTGCGCGTAGGCACTCTTGGGGGTGCCCTCGAGCACCTTGGACCTGAGAGCGGCGAGCGTCGCCGCAGCGGCCCCCTCGGCCGCCCTGCCGGCGTCGCCCCCGTCACCGTTCGCCGGGCCGTTCGCCGCCGAGCACGCGTCCTCGTACTTGGCACCCATGCCGAGCCCGAGGTCAATCATATCCGACTTGTCCGACCTGCCCTTGCCCTTGGAGGTGCCCTTGCCGTTGCCTTTCTCGCCCTTGTTGTTGACCACCTTCTCATTTGCGGCCCAGCGCCTGCTCAGCTTGACGGGCGCCTGCTCAGTACCTTGACCCAATCCATGCGCAGTCGGCTCGAGCACGGGGCACCTCGCGTCGATGGTCGACACTGCCTCCTCGCCGTCGGCCGCGCTCACGGCCAGAAGCTCGGGGAGCTCGAACTGCACGACTTCCATGCCCACTGCCAAAGTCGGGAGCTCCTCGGGCGGCTTTGCATCATCTGGCCCCGGGGGAGTCTGCTGAGCAGTCCGCTTCTTGCCACGACCAGTCTTGTTGGCGTCGACGTTGGTCTCGAGCCTCTCGACCATCCAAGCGGGGATAGGGCAGCTGCCCGTAATGCTGTGCTCAACGGGGTCGAAGTTCAGGAACAATGGGACCTGAATGTGACTCTCGTCCTTCCCGTTAGGCGTAATCCCAGCGATCGTGGTGATATGGAACGCGGCCGTCTTGCCCCTGGAAAAGGAGCGAGGGTGATGGCAATTTGGCAAAGGAGGGAGGAGCGAGGAGGAGGAGGAGGAGGAGGAGGAGGGAGGAGGAGCACGACGACACGACAAGCCTGGCAGGCCCAACGTGGCCAGCAAAGTACATCTTGAAAGACTCCGTGAGCTTCTTGTTGGAGAGCAGCTTCACTGCGGGCTTAGACCCAGCACCAGAACCCGCAGGCGGCGTCACATCGACAGTAACGCTCTCGAAGAGATCATCCTCTGGCTGGAACACTAAGTTCAGGAACTCCGACTCCAAGTGCACGGACAGCTGCTTCACGAAGGCAGCGGTGATCTCGTGCTCTGGCAACTTGATGATGCACTGCGTGGTCAAGCTGGCGTGGTCAATCCCCAGAGTTGTCCTCAGCTCTGCCCCCTTCGGGCCACCCGTATCGGCGGTCCTCTGGTGGCTCATCACCTCTGCCAGCGTGCCCAGATGCAGCGTTGGATCGCGCTGCTCCTCTGCCGGGCGCAGCTCTGGCACCAAGCTTGCCGCGGCGGTCACCACGGCCTCGCCGCCAGGCGCGGCCGACTCCAACTCGGCAATTTGCTTCTCGAACTCGTCCTGGGCCGCCTTGCTGGCCTCCTGGATGCCGAGAACGGTCTGCGCGGTGGCGCACACTACGGACAAGTCGAGCTGCTGCGGCCTCAGCGTCGCCTTGGCGTGATCATCGATGGCCAGGGGCGCGATCGAACTCAGCATCCTGACCCACGCAGATTCCCAAACTTTCCGACCGTGCCCCACCGTGCGCAAGTCCAGCACTTGAACCTCAGACATGCTCAAATCTCTCTGGGGTTCGTACCTCAGCGCGCTCATCACGCCGTCCACTGCCTCTATCTTGAGCACCACGCCTTCCTCTGTCGCCCACGTAACTTTGGTCTTGGTCCTGGCCAGCAAAGAGCACGCGACCTCTGCCACGATCTTGGAGCGGAGGCACATGAATCCCTGCACGGCGTTCACGCTCTCGAAGATGTCATCCACCACCTCTGGGACCTTGAAGTTGGGGTAAGCTTCGGGGTCCGCCCACACGAAGCCAATCTTCTGGATGGGGCCCATGGTCTCGTCCTCCAGCGATACCAGCTCTGCTGCGGCGATGGCCTGAAAGACCCAGCCGACGATGCTAGACAGCACCACCTTGACAGCAGCGTCGGACTTCCTGTAGAGATCGTCCTTCATCTCAGCCTCGAAGAACTTCCAGGCCCGCTGAGATACATCCATGTAGACTGGCAGGAACGTCACGGGCGTGTCATACGGATTTGATGAGATGAACTCCCGCAACGCGGCAACAAGAGTCATATTCCCAAACGCCTTCGCGATGCTCGCCTCCATAGCAGTCTGTGGGGTATCATCATACTCGTCGCCGCCCATGGCGTCGTCGTCTTCCCCATCGAGCTGCAAGCAGCGTTTCCTGATCCTGTCCACCACCATCTTTTTGACGTCGCCTCGGACCGCGTTCCAGCCCGCGAGCGTCTTCTTGGAGTCCTTGGAGGTGCCGCCGAAAACTACCTGAGTGGCAGCAAAACAAGAAGCTCCCTCCTCCTCCTCCTCCTCCTCCTCCTCCTCCTCCTCCTCCCCCATCCCCATCCTCCCCGGGAGGCCCGCCGGGAGGAGTGGAGGAGGAGGAGGAGGAGGGTCGTCGGCGTCGTCATCGTCGTCGTCGTGGAAGGGATGCGAGGTCGAGGAGCGAGGAAGCGAGGATGGTAAGGAGGAGGAGGAATGGGGAGGGGGCGGAGGAAGGAGGGCGCTGGGAGGGTGCAAGGGGACGGGCGAGGAACGAATGGGAAAGGAAGGTCGAAGAGGGGGAGAGAAGGAAGGGAGGCGAGGTCGAGGAGCGAGGAAGGCAGGGGGGAGGAGGGGAGGCAGGGGAGGGGACGACGACGATCGACGACGACGACGCCGACGACGACGACGACGACGACGACGACCACCTGCCCCTCGTCGCTGAAGGCGAACTCCAAGACGCACCTCCAGTAGTACCGCGACGCCTAGGCGGGGCGCGGCGCTGGGGGGCTTCCTCCTCCTCCTCCTCCTCCTCCTCCTCCTCCTCCTCGTCCTCCCTCCTCTGCATCCCTCCTCCGCCTCCTCTTTCTTCCTCCTCCTTTCTCCCTCCTCCTCCGAGCCTCCTCCCCCTCCTCCGCCTCCCCCGCCTCGCTCTTCCCCCTCCCCCCCTCCCCCTCGCCCCCTGACTCCTCGCCTCTCCCTCCCCTACTCCCCGCTCCTCCTCGGAGGAGGGGGGCGGCGGGGGGAAGTGTAGTTCGGCCCGAGGCCGAGCCTCGTCCACGGCGGTGTCCGAGGCAGCGCGCATGGCAGCAGTGATGCCCTTGCTGCCGAGGGCCTCGGCCACGCACGCGTTGTGCGCCAGGATGGCGTCCTCGATCCAAGGGATGATCGTCTCCCCATTCTCCTTGCACAAGCACAACCTCCGCACGGCCTCCATGTGCTTGATCTCCACGGCGCCCCCAGCTGCAGCGGCCTTACCAGCGCGGCGAGTCTTGCCCTTGTCCTTGTCCTTGTCCGACGCCTTGTCATTGCCATCATCCTTGCCCTCCTGCTTGACGTCGTTCTGCTTGCCCTCGCTCTGCTGGCCCTTGTTCTGCTGGCCCTCCTCGCCCTCGGCGGCGGCCCCGGGCGCCGCGCCCACCGCAATCTTCTGCAGGTCCTTGTTGCGGTCAGCCTCCCGCCGTCTCTTCTCCGCCTCTTCCTGCGAAGGAGTCTTCCTCAAGATCCTGCGACGCTTAGATTTCTCATCGGGCTTAGACTCAGGCTTCTCATCGGTCTTAGACTTATCATCGGTCTTGTCCGACGCCAGCTTAAGCTCGCGCAACTTGTCGATCGACTTCTGAGTAGCTTTGTAGAACTTCCCGCTCGAGATGTCCACGAACATGCTCTTGAGTGCGGCCGACGTCTTCGACAGCTTGATCAAATGCCATGACACACGCGAAGCGTTCTTGTCCAAGACCACAGAAATGCCGTTGTCCTCGACGCTGTCCTCGATGTTGTCGCTGACCGTCGGCACCAAGAACTTGACGCACTCTTCCATCATCATGCGGATGAGCTTCGGGGTGGCATTCACCGTGACAGGCTTGTTATTGAGCATGCCGCAAAACGTTGAGAGGACAGCCTTCAGGCACTCGAGCACGGTGTAGTTCTTGATCCTGCCATCCCCGAACACGCAGCAATCCAGCATATGCTTTCGGAAGATAGCCCACGAGTCTTTGCCGGGATCAGCGGCGTCGATCTCGTTGAACCTCTCGGCGATGTACCTCACCAGCTCGTACAGGTTGTTTGATGGGATGATGCCCTGCTTCGCCTGATCCTTGTAGTTGTCCTTGATCCACTGCCAGACCTTCTGGCGCCGACTCTCGTCGCTGCCAGTGGCCCACCCTGGGTTGAGATGCTCGTAGGCGGCCAGCTCGGCGTTGATTTTGCGGCCCCATTCGATTGTTTCCACAAAATTGATGCCGGCTTTCTGGTTAAAGTCGAAGTTGAGGAAATCTTTCATCCATACGAGGGCATCGTCAGGCGCACGGCACTGATATACTTGCACGCGGGTGAGGCCTTTAGCCAAAGCGGCCTGCGCGTTTTCGTTCGCCCTCCACTTCGGATTGTCGCAGCACATATAGAACGCGGTAGCCAGGTGAGCCCGTGAAAACAAACGATATGGAGGGACGTCCCCCTCGCTGAGCTGGCACGTGGGCACGCCCCGGGCATCATTGGCGAGCCCAAACGACAAGATGGTCTTGATCTGTGTGCTGAGGTTCTCCTTCTGCTCGCGGTCGTTGACCCCCATGTGGCGGGCGAAGTTGCGCTCGCCCTGCGAGTTGTACCAAGGGATCGTGGCGTTCATGTGCGTCCGTACCTGGAAGGAGGCAGGAGGAGGGCCCCCGACACCCTTCTTCCACAACCTCCTCCCTCTTCCCCTTCTCCCCCCCCCCCCCCCCCCTCCCCTTAAGGCCTCAAGAGCCTCAAGAGGAGAAGGAGGACGAGGAGGACGAGGAGGAGGAGGAGGAGGAGGAGGAGGAGGAGAGGGCGTGGGGGAGGGGGAGAGGCGGGGGAGGAGGGGAGGGGAGGAGGAGGAAGGGGCACCCCGAAGAGCTCCTGGCACAAGTCCAGGCGCCGAGCACCCGTGACATTCGGGAAGCGTTTGTCCACGTTCGTGATGGACAGGTCGAACGCCGGCGCGAGCGTGTCGGTGGCGGTGGCGACGACGGCCGACGAGGCGCCAGGTTCCGACTCTAGCCCCTGCGACTGAGAGGAAGAGGTCATTGGGCCACCCGATGCCGACCGAGGTGAGGGCAAGTCGGTGGCAGAGTGGAATTCTGCAACGGTGGCCGTGAGAGACGATGACCTCCCTAGAGGTCGGGCTGGGAGCTTGAGTAGAACATGGCCATGGCAATTGGCCACCGAGGGAATGGGGGCGGGTCGGACGCGAAGGGCAAGAGGATTTGGGGGGCCCCGGGGGCCCTTCCCCAGCAAGCCCTTGCCGCAGTAAACGTTTCTAGTAAGCCCTCGCCGCAGTGAAATGTCCGACGACGACGAGGCGGCTTGGACGGAGGGAGCGGTTGGTTGTTCATTGTTATTGCAGCATCAGTGACTCAGGCACGTTCTCACCCCTGCAGCGGCCCCCTGCAGGCAGGGCCGAGCGGAAACCCGACGAGGGGCCCGACCGAACCTGATTGGCCACCCCCCCCCTCTCCGCAAGAAACGATGGGCGAGGGCCACTAGAGACAGCCGAGTGGGAGCACATGCGTCTTGTGGCCCCGAGCCACTCACACTCAGGCTCTCGCCCATACTCAGACCCACTCAGGCTCTGACTCACTCGCACTCAGACTCACGTGCACTGTGCAATCAGACTCACTCACTTTCAGGCCCTCAGGCTCGGCAGTAGGACTAGAACTCCTCCCTCCACCTCCTTCGGCCTCCCCCTCCTCATCCTCCTCCTCCTCCTCCTCCTGCTAATCATCGCCGATCCAACGTTTCTGGCGGTCGGTCGTGCCGCTCAACAGGCTCCCTCCCTCTTATGCACGTCGGCTCGGCACCCGACTCTGTCGGAAAGGAGAAGTGTCAGCAAGTCTCAGTTCACACATTTGGCAATAGGGCAATGTTACAATGCAAAAACAAATCACGTGCAATATATCACGCACCCTAGTGAGGCGAGGGGCGGGGGCTGACGCCTCGATCTTATCACTCTAGCTGCGAGCTCGTCGCAGCTAGTTAACAGGATGATCATGCATATCATAGGTCTCATCCATCATGCGCCGCCAGCCTCCGCCCCCTGCACTGCCCGGGCGAGAGACGCAAGGGCTCTCGAAGATAAGCACGTGCCGAGAGCGATCACAATCGGGTAATACCCGTTACATCTACCACCTTCGTCCACCCAAGAGCGTGCATCAGGACGCAGCCAGCTACATTGCAATTCATAGTGTTTCCAGCCTGCCCGATAGTTTGCAAGCGCCTCTGGCGAGTGCACCTGTCACGCGTGAAACTACAAAGGGCGGGGGCATCGCTGTCGTCAAGGCTGCTCTGGTTGGTCAGCGCCAGGACTGGGAACCCCTGGAGCAACAACAACTCTGTGGGCGTGAGCCAACGCCCCTGGGATGGCACATAGGATAGACACTTGCACGTGATGGTGTGCATCACCTCGCTGGTGCTGAAGACGGGCCGCTCGTTCGGGCCCTCTGGAGTGTCCGCCCACCCTCCCTCAAAGTCCCCTCCCCCCCACATGGAGCCCATAGGAGGCCAGAAGGACCCAAAGAGACTGAGAGGGAACATGGGGAGTGCAAGCCTGTGTAGGGAAACATGGGAAACATCTGACACCTAAAACGTTAATCGGCGTCCGAGGTCCTGCGTGATGTTGACAATTGCGTCCTCCGGCACAGTCCCGAGGTCAGCGTACCCCGTCAGATGCTTGTGCTCGCTGTCGGTCAGGGACGCGTAGAAGTCGCCGGCCACCACGACGTAGTCATCGCCGGGCGGGTCCTTGGACCAGTTGGACCCCTCTCGTTGACACGACCATTGGAGCTCCTGGAGAATCTCGAGGTCTGTCGCCACGAGGAACGTGCGCCAAGTGCACGTGCGAGGCTTCTTGAATAATTGAATGACGTTCTCGAGACTCGAATACTTCTCTGTCACTCGCTGCCTGTGCGCCAACACAGTCCAACGCCGCGGCCTGCGAACTGGCCAGCCCAGGCTAGTCGGACAAATCACAGTGGAGCAGATGATGTAGATGTCCGCAAGGGCGGACTGTAAGATATCGACGCTGAACATGTGAGAGTTCTCATGTATCACAATCGTCGGTGCTGCATTTCTCACTAACGCTACCCATGCAACAAAGATCTCCACGGTCTTGCCAGCGACGGTTTGTCGCCGCCCCAGTGGCGAGAAGTCTATGCACGGGGTGCCCGCGATGTGCAGCTTGCCCGCCTTGAACCTGCATTTGCGTCCGTGGCTCAGGCAGTAAGCACTCCCAGTGGTGGACTTGGCAGCTTCTTTCCAGTACTTGTCAAGCTTAACTAGGGACAGGTCCTGGTCGGCCTTGAGATCCTGCAGCTTTCGTTGTGTGTTATCATTCAGAAAACCAACTATATCTCCGAAGATGCATTCTGGTCGACTGGGGTGCGCATCCAATTCGGCCTGGCACGATGGGTCGCTCTCCACCGCGCTCAAGTGCGCTGGGTGTTGGCAGTCACCGTGGCCCAACTTGGAGACCGCTCCTGCCAGGCCGTTCAGCGCAGTCCCAGGGGCATCGACGCCCGAGAAAGCAGTGGAGTACTTCAAATGCTGCATCCGCTTCACGATGTCATCAATCTTCACAGGGCTGTGCTCGGCCACTACCCTCAGAACTCGTTGCGGCCAATCAAGCAGATTGCGAAGCTCATCAGGCCCATCGCAAACGAGCCCAGCAACGCCCTCGTCAGCGCGGGCGGGCACGTGAAGCTGGGTGTCGGCGACCACGACCCCAGCCGCGGCCCTCTCGACGATCTTGCGCTGCAGAGTGCGCCTCTTGGGCCCGCCCATCGCGCTCGGGGGCACCCTCTTCCGAGTGAGTACTGCAGTCCCGTCGCCACCCGCACTCCCGCTCGCTGGATCTGGTTGCAGGCGTTGCGATTCGGATGCACTGTCATCGTCGAAGCCACCCAGAGACTCGTCGGCAAAAGCTGCCCTGAACAAGGGGTCGGGCGGAGCCAGAGGGTCGTTGTCGTCGGCGACGTCGCGACCCTGCTCCGCGGCCCCCGCGTCGCCGCCGCCCGGCGGGCCGCCCGGGGCGCCCTCAGCGATCGAATGCCCAGGCGAAGGCGAAGCTGGCATGTCCTCGTCCTCGGCCGCCGCCTCCACCGCAGCCTCGGCCGCCGCCTCCTCCGATGGCGAAGCTGCTGAAGCAGGCATGTCCTCGCCCTCGGCCGCCGCCTCCTCCGCGATGTCAGGCGCTTCCACCAGCGGCGTATGCGGCGGTGTCCGCGGTGCCCTCTTGTCCGGAGACCAATCTGGCGGACATGAGGACGTGCTCGGCGCCAATGCCCCTATGGGCGATGCTAGCGCCAAGTCCGCTGGCACCGAAGAAGCCTCTGGAGTGGCTGGCACTGGCGCTGCTGGCGCCGCCTCAGCCCTCGCCGCCAACAGACGCCCCGCCGCGAGGTTCCTAAAGGTCACGAAGTGGAGTCCTTCAGCAAAGGCGGGTGGAGCTGGTGCCGCTGCACCCTGCGAAATAGGCCCTCCAAGAAGATCTGGTGAGGCGGGACCAATCGGCGCCGATGGGGCAGCAATTGGAGAAGCTAACGTCGTGTGAGCAGGCAGCAGCCGCCGCAGCCGCATGGGCAATCTCGACGGTGACCTCGCCTCCGGCGGTGCCCATGGCGGGCTCGGCGGCGGCGCGTCAGCCGTTGGCGATGGTGGCAACGGCGTTCCAACCGTCGCCGCGGGCTCGGGCCGCGCGGCACCCGCCGCCTCATCCTCCTCAGGGGGCTTCTTCGGTGAGGCTGAGTGGGGCGAGCCCGGCGCCGCTGGATCTGCCGCCCCTGCGGGGGGCGCGACCAACGCCGAACTGGCGCTGGCCGAGGCTGGCTGCTCTTCGGCTGCCTGGGCAATTGGCGGCACCACGTCGTCGCCGTCGCCGTCGGCGCCCGCTGGGTTCAAAGCCGGTCGAGCGATTGACCCAGCAGCCGACGACCCCTCATCCCATCCATCGGGCGTTGCAGCTGCGGCCCGGGGCGCCCCGAAGGTCAACGTAGACTGCCTCTTCATCTTGAGCACGACGTCGCCCTAGCCGAACACGATCCACGGCAGTCTCCTGAGCGACATAGAAAACATTATCCTCCTCCTCTTCCTCCTCCTCCTCTGTTCCGTCTACCTCCTCCTTTTTTTTCACCCTCACTCCTTCTCAACCTTCTCCTCCCCGTCCGACTCCGACTCCCCCATCATATCTTCCCCCCATCCCTCCCCTATCGCTGTGTCCTTGTGCTCTTGAGGGGCACGAGGAAGTGATCTGCCAGTGGGGGCACCATGCAAGTGGAGAACTTCGAAGCAAACACTGGGCCATCAGGAACTGTTTCCACTCGGTGTTTCTCAAAGTTACTTGCGAACGCGGTCTCATCATCAATTTTCTCATAGTCGTCATACTTCAGGATTCCAATGGCACGAGCAACAGGGCGATCCTTGAACGCAATGTCTTCACGTAAGTCCTCGAGTAGGTACACGCACTCACCACGCCGCAGAATTTTGCAACGCGTCTTGTGCAATAACCATCTAGCATACCCAGTAAGCGCCCCCTGCGCGGCATCTGGAGACATCACGATGCCACGACGCATGCCCATGCCACATATTATGGGCACTGAGAGAGTGTTAGACTCAAACGAACCCATATCTCACAATGCAACGATGTGTTTGCTTAGCTTGAGCCCCGAACCTCTGGAAGGGCATATCCGCCCCCTCATCAAGAACGAGTCCCCCTAGACATCTCCAAACAGCAACCCTGCGGGCCCGATGTCCAAGACTCCAGCACGGCCCAAGAGGTTTCCCAGGGAACATACATGTCGTATCTGATTTGCAACAACGACAGAGAACACATTTAACACATGTGAATTCTGTAACACAGCTTCGAACGGCATTCGGGCCCGAACAGGAATCACCCACGTTAACACTGAACACGGTATGGTTCACGATAATGCATTCGAACAACCAATGGACGAGCATGGAAATCACCAGAAATAATTCAAATGGGTTAACACCGCAGAGCACCATTCAAAGCGAAAACATGTCGACAACAAAAA